TTGATAGCGTGCAAGTACCAAGTAAATAAGATACAACATATGTAGTTCGGACTGTTGTTATGATAACATTTCATTTACTCAACGCGCGTTTTTGATTTTGTTTATAGGAAAGCTCAGCCAAGAACAGGCGTTATCTCGTGTCCCTCCATCTATTACATACCCTTGGGATACCAGTATTTCAAGAAGTACTACACGCGTAGGCAGTGTAAAGCCAGCAATTGTTAATTGTTGGACGGAATTTTTCAATATGGTAAATCGACACACCTTCAATCAAGAGCCAAGACTCGATGAGCCGAATTTTACAAAAAGCATACCGATACGCATTGAGGATGATGATTATGTTGCCATGACTGTGAATGTTTTTTTGGTGTTGAATTCTCTTTTGGGATCAGATTATACTTTTTCGAAGCAGAAACTCTCCGACTTCACCTGTAATGGAAAGCCAGATGCTACTTGCCGTTATAGAAACAAAATAATTATCCCAATCGAACTCGAGAGGCAAATAGTTTTAGTATTAAATAGCGGACAGTTGGATTATCATTCCGATAGCAATACAAAGGATGTAGTTGATCAAATTTATTCCTATTTGCACATGAGTATTTTTTATCGTTCTTATTGTTATATTAATATGCTTTATACAGGGCGGAACGCCAAAGTGTTGCTAGCAAAGACCGAAGAGGGAAGAGTAGGAAACGCCCAGATATTATGTTCATAGCAAAGCATGATAGGAGAATCTATGAATTAATTTTTGCAGAATGTTCTCGCCTCGTCTGTGATAAACAAAAAGAAGATGATGATGAAGTGAAGCTGTGGAGAGAAATTAACGACGGCTCGTATTGGGCACATAGGGGGTGTAAGATAGATGGTGATGAGTTTGGTGTAATCGGCATTCAGGTTGCTGGACAAAAACTTCATTTATATGTTCTCATTAGAGATGATTATGAAATAAATCGCCTTTTTCTATTAAGATCAGTAGACATTCCAACACAATATTCGGATGGTGATTGCGTGTTTAGATTTGTAGAAACTTTATTATTTTTACGGGTAGAGATTTGCTCAAGTCTATAATATGCTTAATTAGTTTAATACTAATTCTTTTTTATTACATAGAGAATCTTAATTGTTGATCTTCTCAACTTTTCAATTCTGAACCTAGATTATATGGGCAAAGTGAATTAGGCATTGTAACTTTAATCGTTAAGCCTTTTGCTTCTAGTGTCTTATACTCCCATTCGGTGAGATGTTTTCGCAATAACTGTTTATCTTTTGCCTTTTCTATGGGACTGAGTTTGAAATCGAGTGCTTTACCGTGATCTTGGCACTCCTTTAACTTTTTTTGTAAATTGGCGGATTAAAAACTTATATGCAAATTTTTCACACAATAGCTCAACAACTCGCTTATGTTTTTTATTGTATAAGGATTGCACATTGTGTCGTGCTTGCCTTTCATTGTTGTATGCCATAAGTGATAATGCATTTTCATCCTCAGATGCTTTAATTTCTCTCTGTAGTCTAGCCACTTGGACTTGAGTCTGATCTGCTCGATTTTTTCCCCTATCAGCTATAAGTTGAAGTCTATCCACGGCATTTCTAATATCAGTAAACTCACCCTCATGATTTCGTGGTATTGCGGGTATTCTACACAATATACTATTGATAGTATTGAATGCATTTTGAACTATTTCAGTAAGATTCTGAATCTCATTTATATTAGACGTCTGAGCCATGTTTAACTTTTTATATTTTCTAGATGTTAAATCTCGAATTCTATTTTTGAGAGTATATAATTCTTCCTGAAGCTCATTTATTCTGTTATTTAATATAACCAATGATTCTTCTTTATGCTCTATATCTACCAATGCCTTCTGTAGACGCTTTTCAAGATTGTAA